AAAAGTCAATGGAATATCTTTTAAAATTTACATATAAGAATATTGAAGAAATTTCAACATATTTCAACCAGGAGAAATTGACAATAAGTGAATAGAAGTTTAATATGGAAGCTAATGTTGACATCATAATACAAAATAAATAAGATTGGCCCATACACATGCCAAGAGGCTGTGGACCAAACTTATTTTAGAAATATAATGACAAAAGACACATAAAACATTGGAAAATCAATTTTAATGGTTTATAGCAGGAACAAAAGTATGGTTCAATATTAGGAAAGCTGTTAGCTGTGATAGGCACTAAAAAAGTATTGTTTAAAAATGCAACAGCCATGCTTTATTAAAATACTACAATAAAATGCAAATAGAAGGATAGTTGCTAAATATACACACTGTCTTCTGCTTAAAATTCTTTAAGGTGCTTTATTGCACTTAGAATAAAATTTAAGGCCTTAACAACAGTTCTTTAGCACAACAAGCCCTTTCCTACCTCAGGGCATTTTCATGCACAGCTCTCTGTCTGCAGTGCTCTTTGCTCAGGGCTTCATGAAACTGTCTGTTTTTGCTCCTTCATGTCTCAACAAAAGACACATAAAATGTGAAAAGTGCTTATCTATCCCTGCATGGTAGAATTAAATCTAGTCTGTGTATTTTCTCCTTTTTTATTTTTGAAATTTTCAGTTAACCTACATTAGGTTTCTACAAGAAAAAAATCATGATAAACAGTTTTAATCTTTAATGCATTTTAAATATTTTGGCCAGATATGAAACATTGATCTAATGTTTTACCCTAAATAGACAGTTTGTCCCAATGCCATTTACTGAATAATGCAAACTTTACCTGCTGATTTAAAGTACTGCCATAACAATTCACTAAGTCCCTTGTGTACATGGCTCTGTTTCTGAAGTGCCCTCCTGTTGATAAATAGGCTAAGAGATGTGAAAAGTTTCAGGAGTTTTGCAGGGCTTTGTCTTGAAAGAATCTGTGGACATGTTAGTTCACAGAATAGAAGCTGCTTCCAACAAGAGAGGCATTGCCAGAGGACGTTTGCAAAGCAACGTTTCTTCTTTGCTGCCGGCCATCGCCTTGAGCTTTTTGCAAGGCAGAAGCTTGGTTTGGGTCCTTGGAGGAGAAGCTGATTAAAATACCTGCCCAGCAGATAATGTGCAGCTAGAACTATCCTAGATTTCAAGGCTATTCCTGC